GCGTTAAAAAGTGCAGCCGTATCATATTGTACCGGGGAACGGGCATTTTCAGTGAAAAAATTACTTATACGATCTTCTATGTGAGAGGAAAGGTTAAACGCGTTAGCTCTACTGAATATTGAAAATGAATTATTAAATGCTATCGATTTAAATGATGCAATAAATGACTTCAGCTTTAAAAAAGCATAGTTACTGCTATAGTTACAATATACAGATTAAGATTGTTATTGAAATATTTAGTAAATTTAATATTGGTTATTTTCAAAGGGGAAAGGGGTAACTCCTCAACAATTTTTATAATATTGCCAATATTGGTAAAAACATAAACACAATACTCAGATCAAGTACAAAAAACCCGCAACTGACAGTTTGAATTTACAAGTATTTTAATAATAAATAATAATCTGTAAATTATTATTTGAAAATTAAAAAAAAACTTCATAAAGAACTTTTCTAATGATATATTTTGGGAGTTACTGCACTTCCTCAGAGTACTATGTTTGTACTTTGTACTTTATAGTTTATACTACTTTTTTTTTTACACAATAATTAATAATATTAGAATATTATTTGATATAATATATATATAAAAATATAGCCTATAGGTTCAACATGATAATAAATTGTAAAAAATAAAATTGGTATACATCAGTTATTAATGTTCGGTATGTTATTTATACAATTAATATCGATTTTAGTCATAGGTAGTTAATGTATTATTATTTATTCATTATGCCATTATGTAAAACTGTAAAAGTATAAATTACGAACACTTTTATAATATTTTTTACTAACACTTAGACCTAATTAAGTGTTTTGCCATTATTATTATAAAATTGTTTTTTTTTTTTATAAATTTAGTAAGTATGTAAGTAAATTCTTATTAGGTCTTATAGTTTTGTTTTTATGGTATAAATGAAAAAAATTAATTAATTAAATTTAATGAATGATGAATGTACCTATTCCTTTTACAAAGACGTGTGTTTTTATTTTTGTGTCCGAAGACATTTATCTGGTCAAAAAATTGCACTGATCATCAACTTCGAAGGGGGTTTGTGATAGAAAATTTGATCTAGTTTGTATTTCCAACATTTCACAGTACTTTTATAAATAATAGGATAAAATGTTAATCATTTTATTACCTTAATCATTGAATCAAAATTTAACACGTCATCCGTAATTACAGTTACAATTACAGACCTACTCAATTATAAATTGAAATTATAATTTGAAAGCAATATATTTTTTTTCGTATTACTTTTTCTAGTTGAAATTAAAGAAAACTGAAAAGTAACTTAGAACTTAACTTGACGAGTTAACAAGATTAGTGAGCTTGCTCAGCCTTAAATACACGATAATATTATCGCCTATACTCCAAGGTAGATTTAGTACACTATATAATTTCCCAGCGAGGCAGCATGGCAACGTTACATAAAAATGGCTGTAACTTGATTTTACCTGTAAGTTGTAACATCGGAACTCATACAGGCACAGCCGCACAGAAAGAAATTAAATGTATGACTGGTTTCAGGTTTGGGCACACAATGATAATATTGTATAATAATATTATTATATAATGATATTATAATAATATCCTTATTATTATTGTATAAAGATAATAATATGCTATATAGTATAAACTGTGTGTCAATTAAATTTTTATAACAGTTTAAAACATACCTAGTGATATTCATTGATTACGAAATTCGATGTATACTACGCTGCTAGAAAAAATATATTTTCGGAATCTTCTAAAAGATATCTCGATGAGGCAATAAATAAGCTCAAGTAAAACCTTGTTATTTAAAGGTGAACATTTTATTTGTTTAGGTAATGACAAAAATATAGTAATTCTATATCTTGTTGGAAATATTGTAATATGTTATGTACCTATAATGAGTACCATGTTTTTGGATAGGTATGGCATAATATTAGATGAGCTAAAATCTAAATATTTGTTTGCCTAATGATTATAACAATTAATTTATTAATCAACATTGATACGAAAATGCTGGTAAATAGCGTGAGAAAAATTAAAGAGATGTAGGTAAGTATATATAGGTACAGCGTTTAAGCGGCTTAATGGGTATAAAGTTGTTCATATTTTAATATTTTTTTAACTATTGTCTATTAACCATTAACCGGACACCAGTGGCGTAAACAAGGGGGGGGGGGGGTGACGTGGGACCGTGGGGGTCAGATCCTCTCCCATTATTAACTTTGGAGTGGATAATCTTCCATATTGTGTTTGAAGTGAATTTCGAATCAATTCAAATTTTATTCATTGTTCCTTATTGTTAAATAATTTACTACCTAAGTAAAATGTTTTGAGAGGGTGGGGGGGTTTCCCAATTTTCTCCTCCCATTTAGCTATGACATTTTTTTTTTGACCCCCCCCCCCTTTCAGAAATCATGTCTACGCCACTGCCGGACACATATTGTGTAACCGTACTAGTCACAACGGTTCAAGATAGTAGTTATCTCAAATCGTGCTATATACTAACTAGTAACTACTGTATGAGTATATAATATGACTATAATATTTTCATACACCAGTTACGAGGCTAAAAGTAGCTTGTTTGGATCTCTCCGTAAAGCTCGCACCGCCGTTGTTATTATTTATTTTTGGTCGACACTGGGACACTCGACTATCTGCACTCAAACGTTTCTAAGATAATCTTTTTATGACTTGGATACCTATCTAATATACCTCAACATTTGCAGTCGTGTGGACTTGTCGTTGAGTAGGTATATTATGAGAATGACGGGCGATAGTTTTATAATAAACAAATAAATAAAACAAATAATCTAAATTGGTACCTACGTTGTGTGCCATCTTGTGCCATATTGTGCCACCACGAAGGAATCTCAAATTTATCATGTTATGTCTATACGTTTGTAAGACGGAGACAACTTGCGAGGGTATAAAAATTCCTGGGATATTCTCTCTACCGGAACCTCTGAGGTACCAAGCTCTAAAGTTCAACAGAGTCTGATATCTGAATGATTTTTAAATCCCTAAATAACCCAAGAGACACCCAACAAACTGAATATTTGTGCTATAGGCTATATTGCCAAAAAATGTATGGAAATTACCAAGTATGTTAAATAATTGAATAAGTAGAGGTATGCCTATTATAATATATGAGTATATTATGACTACTGTAATAATTAATTAACAATAATAGTATGTAAGTAATATAAACTATAAAGGTGCACCTTGTAGGTATACCTACCTACCTATTTATGTATGTATGTATGTATGTATGTATGTATGTATGTATGCAGTGGAGTAGACAAGGGGGGGCGTATGGGGTCAGACCCCCCCATTGGCTTTTTATTACCTTAGTAAAAAGTTTTGAGAGGGTGGAGGATTTTCCAATTTTCCCCTCCCATTTAGCTTTGTCGTTTTCTTTCTCTGACCCCCCGCCCCCTTTCAGAAATCATGTCTACTCCACTGTATGTATGCATGTATCTATGTATGTATGTATGTATCATACAATGTGCCACACAGTGAAACTTGAATATCTGATGAGGTATGACATATGTTATATGTACCTAAGTATATACAGGTGCAACTTTCAAATATTCGATTTAAATTTAATGTACACTCGTCAGTAGTTTTATAGTAGATCATAAAAAAAAAAAATCCCGTTTAAAATGATTTCAAACAATGGACTACGAACATTGTGTAGAACATTTGTAATAAGTAATAACTAATAATTAATTTTGTAAAAAAATTATATGGATAATAGTCATCCAATTATTGCTTCAATATTAGTATGTAAGTTTAGCGAATTCTATTTTTGCACACATTGTTCAATTGTTTATTTGTTATTGCGAACGAGACATCAAGAATTCATGTAAAATAATGGCCAATTAACGCAAAAAATTATCGTTTTCCATAGCATTATACCACTCACTATATATACTTAGAAAAAAAACAAAATGATTGTGTGCATTTAAAACCCATTATTTAGTTAAAAATTCATAATTTTAATTATTATATGTTTTCTTCTCATTAAGTTACTTGTTTATGAATACAGCCCAGAACTGAGGTTATTGAAAACACATTGTTCGCCTTTTAATGAGTGCAAATAAAATAAAATGTCTTTCTTTGTCGATGATCTGTGACCATTATTAAATCGTATAGACGTATAGGAATATGTAAACAACGCACAGTATGGGTACAGTTTACAAAGAACTTTTATTATTCAAACATAACACTGTAATAAAAAAAAAATAAAACATTCATGTAGGTATAGAATACGTATTATAATATGCGGGATTCAAATTCAACCACATCTATAGTAATTTTTTTTACTTTTTAGGTGAAGGGATACACATAATCCACTGACTAGGTACTATATAATAGTTATACAAATGGTTTTATAAAAAAATTAATCTTATGTAAATAAATGTGTATGGGAAAATGTCAAACGATTGTAAACGACGGCTATTAAAAGTGCACCTAATTATTATACAATTAGGTTTTATCTTATTAAACACTTTTCAAAGTTAAATAAATATAATATTATACATATTATCTAATATATTACAATATTATGTATTATGCGTATTACGTTTTATGGTTTAGTGAAAAAAAATTAATAATAAAAAACTACATTATTATAATAGTGATATGTACACGACAACAAACATTAAAAAATAGTTAAAAATTTAAAACAACTATATAGGTACTTATATGTAAATATTATATTATAAATGTGTAATAATAGGACCAAACGCGCAAACTACGCATCTACTCAAAGTCCCAATTTGTCACTCATTGCTATATCTAATGTACCTACTACCTACCTAGGTAATTTACATAGTAATATGTATTTTATTATATTATATATATATATATGTACAGTTATATAGCGAGAATACTGATGTTTAAAAATTAACAAATCATTTTTCGTTTCATTAACAATAATGCTGTACAGTGTAAAAATATAAAGTGAGTATTTTATGTGTATAGTCGCATTTTGCGAAAATTACAAATTCAGAGATGGATTTTTACCATCGGCGACGACGTTTAATAGTCTTGCTGCAGTGAAGTACCCGTTGTCCGTCGTCTCGTTGGACCAGGTTTCAGTGGTCGAATGCGATTTGTTATCGTTTTTTTGTCTGTCGAACAATCCATTCTGGTGAATACAAAAAAAAAAATCAATAAAATATGAAATAAACATTTTCCAGATAGAATTTAGACCATATTATATACAGATATAAAAAGTGTATATTAATTATCTATTTTTTCAAGGTGAGCGTTTAAACTTTTAAAGGTTAACTGCTGTTATTTGCAGGTAATGTCAATAGGTTCTCACACACAGATGTGTATGGTATAAAATGTCATTCACGCAGACATGATTATTTCGATGAATTTACCGCGTATTATAAATATAGGCTGACTGCTATTCTAATACATAAACGCTTTCAGTGGCGTAATTTGGTCATGTTTGTGTGGGGGAGGGGGGAATTAAAACATTTACCACCCACCACCCACCCGAAAAAAAATGTTTGTTTATATCGTATAAACCACTCAGTCCAACCATTGTGATCTGTAATTTGTATAATGTAAATATAGGTTAAAATACATGCATATATGCATAATGTATACATTAAAATTTACATACTATTAATAAAGTTTTAAAATGCACTTTTTCGAGTAAATTCATGGAACTATCTGAGTAAACGTAAAATACTCAAAATTGCAAACTTTTAAATGTTATAACCTTGGAACTAAGTCCTGCTGACAAATTCTGATTGCACCATTGTACTTAACTCGTTGAAATATACCTATAGGTTCCCGAAAAAATTCCCAAAAATCGAGCTATAAACTGCATTATTTCAATATATTTGTGCAATATTGCAATAGTGTTTATTACAGAGTAATATTATCTAGTTAGATACAGCAACCATAAGGGATTTGGGTTCTTATTTGTTGTGTCTATAAAATATAGGTACTAATGTACTATATCAGTAGGTATAATAGTAGGTACCTACCTATAAATATGGTTCACCAGTTTAAAAAAAAAGGCATGGAGGTGATACGACACCCAAATCCCCCCCCCTGTAATTACGCCACTGTACGCTTTGAAAATATATTAATTATAAAATTAAAATTTTAAGCTAAATAACAATAATAGACATTAATAGTAAGGCGCCTATATTATAATTTAAATGTTTTTCACACTCACAATGTAAGTGGAGATCATGATTCCAATTATCGAACCAGCCAACACGTCCCACCAATGATGTCTGTGATCTGTGATTCTAGTCAGGGAACAGAACATGGCCCAGAGCATGCACATCGCTTGTAAGACTGGCATTAACAGCAACGAACGCGATTTGCATTTGTTATGTAGATACCACTGAAAAAGCAACAACATAATATAATAAATTGTACAGAGATCGTTAGAAACTTAGAACAATAAAACAATTAAATATTATTTAACGAATACGAATAAACTGAACATAAGGCGTAGGCTCAAGGTAAACATTTACATCCGTAGGTCAAACCCACACATGTTGTCTCCGTCTCACACTCTCACAAACATTTAACATAGCACGTTTACGTTCAGCACTTCAGCAGAACCAATTTTGTGTTGTTACTTGTTAGCATTATTATTATTATAAAAAGTTATAGTGATTTGAGTATTCGACATATTATCATGTATCACATTTATAAGTTAAAGGCAAGAACATTATTTTCGTGTTTGTACTCAGGTTTTTTACGATACTTTAAATCTTGAGTGTGTTATGACTTATGAGTATTTTTAAATTGAAATATTTTAATTACTTATAACTAGTTCAAAAATGTAAATGCCATAAAAAAACCGACGTACATAGACGGACAATATTTTTACCTTTAAGTTTTATAATACATCAATCGACTCTAATATTGAAGCTAACAACACAACTGTTCTTTTGAATTCTGTTGAGCGCAAATTTGCAGTGTTATACCTACGTTTGTAAGATGGAAACGACACATATTATTTTATTCGTATAAATATTATGCAACAAAGAATGACATGTCTATTTAAATATACTGTTTACTATATAGTATACACTATACATTACCTAAATATGACATATTATTATCTATAACTACTAAACAAACAAAATACGTAAACCAGCTGAAAAAAGTGAATCATAACCAAATGTAAAAAAAGTAGAAAGTAGGTAACCGCACTCCTGTACAGCTGTTGCATAGCTAGGTGTCAATTGTCAAGTGTACCTCGTCATCGAGTAAGTCACTGTAATGTAGTGTTAAATTTGAATAAAATATAATAAACCATTAGATAAGAAAATCCAATCTGAGTGAAGACGGCTGTCAGCCTATATTACCAAGTATAACTATACCACTATTATAGTAATTAATTTTACTATTAGTAATAGCAAGTACGGTAGATTAAATACATTTTTGTTGAAACATGACATATTTTCTTATAAAATTATTATATAATAGTATATATATATTTTTAGATTCTGAGCGGATCGATGAATGTGTTGATTTAACAGTGTCTTTAGTGGTCTTGAGTATTGTATAGATTTGTGTGGTCAATTAAATAAATATAATATACAATATGTCAATATGCCAATATGTTTGGCATACTGTAGAACGTCTCCACTCAGAATCGTTTTACGAATTCAATGAAATATCATTGAATTAAAATTTAACAAATCCATTACATTGACCAACTCGAAACCTACGTTATACTGTAGATAAGAGAAGTACTTGTCAACCTTTTTAAAAATAAATATAAATTACAGTTTAAAATTATTACATTTTGTTAACAAGTTGACTGCCATGAGTACCATATCTGGACCTCACATCGTTTGTACCCTGAGCTAACTATTTTAAACTCGTTCATTTCACTGATATTGGTACTCACCACGTTTGACTTTCAAGGATAGGTACTCATTTTAACCCAAGCAAATTAAGAAATCATAAGAAATACCGAAAAAAACCGTGGTTAGCGTGGATGTCTGTCAAAAAATACTATGGCGTACGTGACCAAACCAATGAGTTCCTATTCAGGTAGGTACTCATAGTGTTTGAGGATAGCTCTATTAAAATACTGTACAGTCAACTTGTTACAAGTAGCGAAAAAATGAAAAACTAAAGTAATTTATAAAAAATAATAATGATCCAAGACCTGCAAAGTAAGTCGTAAGACAGAAAAATATTAAATATTGTACGTACGGCTAAAGATATTGATCCGTACACTGAAATGGAAGCATGGCCCGATGGAAATGACTTGCTGGCATCTCGTATGATATATGTGCTTTCATTTTCGTTCATACATGTATAACGATCAATATACCTAAATTAATATGTAAATGTTGTTTTAAATATAATACATCGAAATAAAATAATTATTAAGTATTGATTAGGTTTATTTGAGCCGATCAAATATTTGATACCTAAATCCTTTATATTATACGAATTCAGTTAATAGGCAGTGTATTGTAATAATAGCTAGATAATTACCTATTAGTGCAGTTTTTGGCTTCTTTAGGAAGACAAGTATCTAAAAAATGTGGCCTTGGTTCACCAATCAGAAGTTTGCCGACGTCTGTTATAAAAAATACGAATATCAGTCCTAAGATATATTGACGATACCACCTCAACGATTCTTTAAGCCATTCATACCGTTCGGAATCAAATTTGTTTTTTTCTTTAGTGCAGTATTCGGTCATCATTGCCTGTGTGCATATTATATCGTATTTATCAATATCAATTGTATATTATATTATTATTTGTTACGAATTTGGCAATAGGTAATATGCATGTTTTAATATTTTGACTTACGGCTAAATATGGAACTATGAGGGTAACTAGTATAAGCACATGAGACTCCACCGTATCGCCTTGGTATTTGTAGCTTATTTTGGGATCCCCGCAAAAAAAGCCGATGCTTTGCAAGTGTGGAATACTTCCGAATTCTACCAAACCCATTGCGATAAAAACTAGAAACAAATAAAATACAGAATTAGGTATGTTATATCTGTAAACTGTAATGTTTAAAAATAGATATATTCATCCATCATATTATACTCGTATATAAACAGACAACAGTATATCATTATGAAATATATCTATTATTATATTGATTTTACTCAATTTAAGAATCGCCTACCACTTCTTTGCCGTGGACCGTGGTACCAGAAATGAAGCATGCAAGCATTTGTTTTAGAACATAACTAAATTTTTTTTATTTAGAGGACGCTACACATGCATTCAAGTATTTGTTGTCTCTGTCGTACACACGTACGACCTATAAAATTTCCCTTCACAAGTTTCTATAGTGTGTTACTAGTTTTGATATTAGAATGAATTGATATACTATCATTTTTTTAGGCAAGAGCATTATCTGGGCTTAAGAGTCGGCTTTTATTCGATATTTTAATTTTCAAGCAAGATATGAGCATTTTTAATCTATGATATTTCACATACCTATTCATATCTTGATTGAAAATAAAAATATCGAAAATATCGCCAATCATTAAGCACAGATAATTTTCTTCCCTAAAAGTTTTTGATAATGGTCAATTCACTCTAATATAAAAATTAACAGCACACTATTAAAACTAGTGAACTGAAATTTGGTACGTAAGTCGGATACGCATGTGTAACGACCACTTATGAAGAACATTGCCATATACTTATAAATAAGAAGAAGTGAATACTATAATAATAGGTAAATTAAATGATTCTAAAATCTAAACTGACTATTATGGCTTAATCAAGACAAAATAAATTCGATGAGTACCAACTAAAAGGTTCCTATTTGATATTTTTTTAAGCGTGATGTTAATTGTTAGTACTTAGCTCTTTACAGTACCAGAGTACTTATACACCTTTAATATGTAAATTTTCATATGTAGGTATAATGTATATAGTGCACAGTGCCAGTTTAGTATTTTATTTATAGAGACATTAGTACCTAGGTGGCTAGGTATATATATATAAGTATAGTTATTATGGTGAATGGTGATTAGTTTCTAATAATTAATATAACCCCTAGTGGCTACTGGCTAGTAGCAATAAACATTTCAAATGCATTTAGAAATTCTACACAGTTAAGCCATTATTTTTTTTAAATTATATTTTATCCTTTATCAGGGTGATTGATTTAGCGTAAAACACTCATTATCTCTAAAAGTATAAATGTTTTTGAAAATATTGTTTTAAATAGTTTCAAGTTGTTAAAAAAACAACGTTTTCATTAAAAAATTATATTTTTAAATATTTTTTATCCTTATAGTTTTTTAAGTTTTTTACTTTTTTGAATGGCATCATAGAGTTTTAATTTCATATTCCAAAGCAGAATATTTTTCTAAGTATTTTGATACATAAAAATCGAACTTAAAAAAATATTTTCAAAAACATTAATAATTTTTGAGATAATGAGTGTTTTACGCTTAATGAATCACCTGGTATATTATAAGCATACTAGCTGATCCCGTGCACTTCGTTGCCAGTTAAATGTACCAACTCTATATGACTCAAACTTTATTCGATTCGTTATTTAATATTCGGAGTATATGGTGTTCAAAATGTATCTTAACTTTTCTGTTACCCGGAATAAAAATTCTGATTCGCAGCAGTATAATATTATCAGGTAGGCAATCTACCTGCGGTAGATCGCGGACCCCGTGCTGTTTGTACGTAAGTGTATGATTTAACTCTAAAGTACGTATCAAAGTTATACCAAGTTTGTCGTATTCCACCTATGGTTGATTAATATAATCAATTAATACAAAATCCTAACCTAACTTAACCGTACTGAAATCCGATGAATAAAAAAAACCATATTTAACCATTTTTAAATTAGCCTGTCTTCTTCCCATAGGTCTAATCTACACACAGATATTAATTTATATACATATATATTATATTGACAACAAATAATAATACAAATCAATAAACATGCCCGATTAACCAATAATAACCAATATATAATATACTGTTGCGCTACTGTTGTATTTTTACTTCCAGAATTCCTACTTTTCCAGATTTTTCTAAAATTTTCTTTCTCAAAAACTTTCTCCTGGCAATTACAAACATCTTAAACAAAATTTGAACCAAATCAGACCAGCCGTTCTCGATTGATGAGGTGATGACATTTTTCCCGCTCTATTTTTATATATATATATATATGTATATATATATAGATATCATAATTTATTTGTAGGTTCCTACCTAGGTACTTACAAATGGTATAAATAATTATAATACCAGTATAAAATTAAAATTACTTAGATTCTATTCCACTCAATGCTAACTTAATACCGCACGATAGAGGTATTTGACCATTGAAGTGGGGACATTTAAGGACTACATAGGTTTCAGCTTAAAATATCTCATATAATGGAATGTTTGACATATCGTGTTGCGTATTGCGTAGGTATATGATGTATATTGAATAAGTAAGCATAAACATTTTGGTAACACGTGTTACCTAAAATTTTAATGCATTTGGTTTGTAAAGACTCAGCGATTTGTGGAGTCCACCACACATTTTTGTGAAAATGTCCATTGGACAAAATGTAATTATGTAATATTGTATAGTTGTAGTCACAACCTACTAATTATCTTTAATTATGGAAATTTCACATTTTATTTAGTACGTTTTGTGTAACTCATAGCCTCGAGGGAAGACCTAGAGGCTAGAAGAAGCACTTATATGTTATGAGTTATGACTTTATTCATATACCATACAAATATAGCAGTTACAGGTCACATGGCTTGAATTTCAGTAGATAATTAATAATATTATAAACGAAATAAACAAATTTGAACTATTTACGTTGTGATGTATTATAAATTATAATAAAGATATACTATATGTAGGTATAGGTAATAAAAGATAAAATGTGTTATTATTTTCTAAAATATACGTAGGTATAAGAGACATAATATTATGTAATGTAGGTACTAATGTACTTATGTCCAATGTCTAATGTGCATTTAAACTGTTATGTAGATAGGTACTATTTATTGTTTAAAAAATGTGTAAGAAGATTGAACAATATTCGAAAATTATGGCAATATGGCAATATTCATAAATCTTTTACTCTCTAGTACGTGGTATTGGGTAGTCAAAAATTAATAAAAAGTTCCCCTTTATTTTTCTTATATCAATCGAAAAATATCAAAAATACAAACGCACAATTTTTTTTTATAGACTTCAAGTTACGAAATAAATTACGAAATAGGATTAACGATTTTGGTTATTTTTTTGTTATTCAAACTTATTTATAAAAAATTTCGCATTACGATTACCTATATTATTATTATTTTCTAGCTGATCCCGCGCACTTCGTGACCTTTTAAAATATTTAGATTCATTTTAATCTATTAATACCATTAACCCAATTCACACCGTTTAATGTTTAAGGTAGTAACGTCAGCATTGACTTATAAGTTAATATCAGTTATTATATTATGAAATAACATTGTAATAATGATTACTATACCTGTTATAATCACAGACTTCTATACTACACTAGATAAGGAACTCTTATACAATGTACATTGTTACAAGTGAAGCTCAGCTGTGAACGGCCGCCATTTTCTCGGTTGGCAAAACATTTCATTTATTATACAAAATGTATTAGGAATAATATTTTTTTTAACGGTCAAATAAAATAGTAAATGTAAAATGACTTATATAAAATATTTTTTTTTTTTTGTAAACTTAATGTTTAAAAATAATAAAATACGATATAAAATAAATCATAATATCATCTTATTTGTCATATGAAATACCATACAATTGCCAACCGACCTTGAAGCTTCAATTCATGACCGGAGTTCGCTATCTAGTAATATATAGAAATCTGTGGTTATAATATAATATGTTATTCATTTTTAACAAAAATTAGTTCAACTACTTCAACTTACTATATTAATAACCAAAATCTAAAAATAAATTGCAAATAACAATATATACTTAAATACATTATAAAATATCTTTAGGAATATAATCTGACTGTTTCTAGCCTGTATTGTTTTTTGTTTACAAAGATTTATAATTTAAATTAAATTTGACACATCCCCATTACACTGGACCTACTCAATGACTGGTACACTCGACACCTGATATACTTTATCTAAATAGTTTTAGATTCTGAGCGGAGCGATGAATGTATTGGTTTTACAATGATGTATGTTTTTATATTTTTATTTATATTTTTGTGTCTGTCATCACGTTTTAGGACAGTAAAAGTGCTTGGATTTTCTTCATCAGTAGCTTTTCTGATAGGAAAGTGAATCTAGTTGGTACTTTGGGGGGTCAAAAGTATAAATTTCCCAGTAGTTTTCACAAGCGCCGGGAAAAACAACATAAAAATTAAGGAAAAACGGGAATTTTTACACAAAATTGGTTTTCCAAAAAATCGATTTTGGTTATTGGTGTAACTCTAAAACAAATGAACGTATATACATGAAATTTTCACTGGTTGTTTATATTTGCATTTTCTATACACGATAACATTTTCAAAATATTTTGATTTATTTTGAACTGTTTAGGGACATTTTCATTTTCCATTTTTTTTTAGTTTTTTTTCTAAAAATATCAATAAAATTTTATTTATTGGTTGCGAAAGCTTGAAAATTTAATAGAAGGCTCCTAATATGTTGTTTCAAAGGCAGATGAAAAATATTAAAAATTCTTAGTCACAATTTTTTTTTATAAGCATTTAAAGTTCAAAAATTGACAAAATATGGAAAAATCACGAAAATTAGCAAATTATTTTGAGTTAAGAATTCGTAAAAATTTTTCTTTTTAAATCAAAGATTTGAAAATGAAACACAAGATTCCTTATAAGATTATCTACCTTTATCAATAAAAAAATCTCTACCGGACAGTCAAATTAAATTTTTATGAGCGTTTGAAATTCAAATTTTTACAACATTGGATTTTCACTCGATTACTCATGTAGCGATTTCCTTATTTTGTTGC